ATATAATAATGTATATAATAAATATATACATACATATATATGTATATATATATCTATATATATGTATGTATGTATGTATGTACGTGTGTATGTATGTATGTATATATATATATATAATAAATATATACATTCTCTCTTCTTTTCGATGAGAATTTACATTACTGACAACTTCGAATGTGCAATGCAGATACTTCATCTTCACGGCAATTGTATCTCACGATTATAAGTATTAATTTACATGCTGCTCCTTCTACTTGTAGCCAGGCATCGAGACTTTGCCCAATTACCGTATGATCAAGTGGCCACAACAATCGTATGTTGTCCGAGCGTGTGCATGCGTAGAATTTCAGCCATTCATTGCAGTGGGCATGCTAGATGTGTCGCATAAAGTACTGATAATAGTTGTTGGCTTACGAGTCACTTGCCTGAAGTAGAGAACTGCGCGGCAATCGCCTATCAATGCCTGCAATAGTGCATGATATATGAAATTAATTACAAACGTTAAATACTACTTTCACCATAATAGTAGCAGGTGTATTCGTGTGCGACGTGCATCTTGTATGGGACCGTATCATTTTGCGATTTCAAAGCGTTAACGGAAATGAAGTTTATGTATGACTAAACATGTATGTGTATATTGAGTAAAACTAAACGACGAATACGCCTGTAGGCTGTCAATGTATGTTACAAGTTAGCACTATTTGCAACTAAGTGTTTGATGCTAATGGAGTTGTTCATGACATTCCTAAATTGACAAACGAATGTTACTTGACGTGGAGGAATCCTTCCATACAGACATCATCGATACAACATTCAGCGGTATATCCAAGTCACTGGTTCGTCCTCCTACTTCGTATGTTATTCTACACACGCATATCTAGCCTTGTGAATCTATTAATTTGACGCATCAACATGTGACTCATACTGTTCTGCATTCTATTTCAGGTTCAATACTATCAAAGACCGGTTGCCTAATCTAAGCGGAACAGCAGTAAAGCTGCTCAAAGGACTGATGACATATGATCCCCACGGGCGTTTGTCCGCTAGAGATGCGCTGTCGCACCCTTACTTCAGGTGTGGTTGTGTGTATATGCATTCGAGTGTGTGTGAATGTGCGAAAAGACTGTGCTTGCCAATGTGTACATGTATACATACAGACATGTCTTATTCTAAATTCAGGGCATGAATAGCCTTGGTGTCTGGCTGTATAGATACGTTGCTCATTCTAATTAAAAGGTATAAATAACCTTGGTTTATGGCTGTGGTAGTGTATTTGCTTCCTGTGTACGTGTGCGCGACATAGTCAAATATTAGTAGATGCCGCATGGTATGCCACTCATATTCCCTCGAGCAGCGGAATGGCTATAACCATAACGAGGCACGGTATCAATAGGACACTTCATTTGGTGACAAGAGGATTTAAACCCCTTTCTGGCCCATAAGTCACACTTCTCATTGATCACTATTGATTATTAGAGAGGCACCGACACCCACCTCCTCTGAAATGCTGCCCACATTCCCGGAGCATCGGAATGCAACGAAATCTACACCGAGCACGCGACGAGCTAAGAGCAATCTGAGCAGCTGGGACCTCAAACCCAAAGCCCGGCACGCATACCAAGGTCACACGTGAGTATGTCTATTCCGATATTACAGTCGTTTTGCACATATCTGTGAATCGCTGGCGTTGCTATACGGAACTCTATTATGGTCACGCTAAGCCCGGATACTCAAAGTTATCCGAAGCAGTATCGAGAAGAAAAACCAGAAGTGGCCATCCGGCAGGTTTTCAGTTATCGAGCTGTGTTACTTCCCGTCCTCCAGTACTCGCTACCTCGGTTCAGCTCGGGTGCAAGCGTGCCCTATCATGACATATGCTGCTATCACGTCATTAGACCGCGGAGACTTAAAGAACCTGCCTTCAATACAAAGTGCGCGGCAGCAAAGCTTCTGCCATTAATCTGTGGATTGGGACGCTAGCTATACGAGATTGTCAGCCGAATCACGCAACGCTCCCCAAATTGCAATAGTGCATTGTGAGTTGCGCTAGAATCTCATTTTTGGGGTGTTCCGAATTCATCGTTGTATTGGTTTGGGCCAGTATCTCGCTGTAGGTAACACAACTTGCTGGTCTGATCTGCCCGTTCCACGCATTGGACTCGCCCGCTCGATCGAGAGCTACCAGTTCGTTGTACTTTCTGCTGCGCTTGCATAACTATACTGTATGCACCCAAGTTCGGCGTATGTTATACAACTTTGACGATATGATGAACATTTTTTTAAATTGTCTAAATCGAAATGGACAATACCCAATCCTTTGAGCGTACGCGGGTGTGGTATACCTGACACGTATGAGGAGTTTATAGGGTAAAATTTGTCCTTAACAGTGCCTGTTAGATATACTATTTACGGCTGTGGAAATCGGTTTGAGCCTTAAACCGATCGCATGTTCTCCGGCGTTGTGAGGTGCAGAGCACGGCATACACTATTTATATGAGGGAATGCATCCTACTCTATTTTCAAGTAAAGCCATCGCATATACTACTATATACACATGCATTCTTATCTGATCCCACTTTGTGCGGATGAACTAGAATCATGACTTTCCAATTGCAAAAGCGTTGCAACAGCTTTGACAAGACTATAGGTCTTTTTAGATGCAATTATGATACTTTCGTCAGGTAGCATGCTAGCATGTGTGATCGTTCTGTTGCCTAGTAATCTTCGAAGACATCGTGCATGCCAGTATCATATCTTATGATTATTGAGTGGAATTTTGACATAGGTTGTTCGCAAATTGATTGCACTATTTGGACCTAATTTTCCAACTATTTATAACTATTAAAAAAAATACGTTGCACACATATGTATATATGTATATGTGTATATATATATATATATATTGTGAGTAACTTATTTAGTTCACGAACGGTTTAGAGTGAAACAACGTTTGTACTTTATAGGATCAAAGTAGTGTAATAGCATACAAGGTAGTGAGGACTGATCATCCCACAAGCTTGACATATGTATCTATAGCTAGATATTGCTTGCCGTCAGACCCTCTGGTCACTGACGCAATATCGCCTTTCTCGCTATGTATTCCATCATACTATTACAGTACACTACTAAATGTTTTATGCTCTTCGTCTATTGGTCTACACTTACCAAATCAGCTGTAGGCATAAACCAATATCGTAAGACATACAACATTTTTCCATGTCTCCATCACTCTAACAAAATCACCCCACATACACCCGAACCATCAAGCATGCACCAAACATAATTCAGTTCTGCACACGAGCCTTCAAGCTCACTACTGTCTGTGGACCACACCCATATTACAACCCCCCACTATGACCACATCTCTGCCATGTCATAGGGTGGTCATATTCCAGTGTGTCCACCATACTAGTCCGATGCATATCCACAGGGACGTGGTGCTGTACTCTCCCTCTGACCTCTGCCAAGTGAAGTTCCAGCCTACACGCTACTACTCATGCGATCAACTACATCGCTGACTCAACTCACTACCGCCTGGGGATCTCAACGCCTTCCAATGTTAATGGAAGCATACCCCATCTGCGCAACATGCGCGAAACGTTGCGTCCCGCGAGAACCTTAAGCAAGTAATCACTCGCGACCGATATAACCGTCGTGGCTGATCGACAGGAAACCTATTAACGAGAATCACCTCATGATTCATATGCAACTGAATCTGACCGAACGGAGCAGATGCAAACGGCAAGTCAACAGGCTGGTTCGCCTGATCACAAAAACTTTCCCATCTGCCCCACACAGAACTCATTGCATCGGCCCACCGATGTGCCTTTGCTGTACGCCGCAGCCGATCACCTAACTTCTGTCGATACTCATAAGACGCCGCATGCATCATTGATCGTTGTAACAACCAGGACTCATACCGTCCACGCGGCCTATAGCTGACCACCTTCTGCCTTTCCGGAGGCGGCATATCAACCCCTTGAACATGCGCCTTAAGCTCATCGATCATATACGAACGCACAACCCCCGAGGCAATTTCCACATCATACTTCAAACTGGGCAGGACCGCAACAATTTTGGCAGGACCATCATACCGCGCAGCCAACGCATGACCAGCACCACGGATCTTGTACCTCACCCAGTCACCTACAGCGAACGCTGGCACGTCCACACGATGCAAGTCAGCCGCCCTACGCTGGGACTCCTGCGCACGCAAATCACGCTGCACTGCAACCGCATCACGCACCATGGCCTCCGTACCACGCTCTGTTAACAGCATGGCCAGAACCCTCTCTTGCAACTGGTCTCGCTGAGCATGCAGAAATGTGCGCCCAGTCATGTGAAAGTATGGGGAAAACCCAGTAATCGAATTCACCGTCGCATTGTAAGTCCGGACCACATCATAAACTGAGTATACCCATGACCCTACACCCGCATCAGCAGCCGCCACCTCAGGTTTGAGCCAGTCCTTCACCGTACGGATGAGAACCTCCGCTCTCCCATTGCCTTGGTGAC